GACAACTCTGCGTGTGTGTGTGTGTGTGTGTGTGTGTGTGTGTGGTTTTTTTATTTTATTTTATATTCATTAAAAGAACCGGCTCATAAGCATTCGGCATTCGTTCGGGAATCAGACTTTACTGGTTGTGTTTTGTGATTCACCAAAACGTACCTGCTCTTAAGAGTCATTATATATATATATATATATATACATATTAAATATTGTTGCAATGTTTGCGTTTCTCCATGTCCATATTAGGCCATGTAAAATACATACAAAAAAGTTTTATTTTGTGTAACTGTATATCTCCCCACAATAATTTTTTTCATTTCCTTCCTAACATTAAAACATATAACTTAAATATTATGCTACTAGTAATTAATGAAGATTATTTGATAAGGACAGAAACACTCACAAAGAATTTGCCATTGCCCGGAGGCTGATAGGCACCATTGAAGCCACAGTCTGGTGAAAATGCACAATCGGTCAGGTTAACAATGTTCTCCATTAGAGAAAGACAGAGGAATGAGTCACCCGTTCCTGAAAAAAGGACTGTAGCCGTGGTGTTGAAATTGTTTGGTTTGACCACACAAGGGGAGTTATAAAGGTCATCCAAAGTAAGACTGAGGTTATATCCGACATGGTAGCATGGGTGACTGATAACTGGTGAGGGTCCAGCAGTCTAGATGAAGCAGACACCATATCAGACATTCAATTATGACCATCATTTTATTGGTAGACACTTTCTTTCCAAATCTACGTACAGTAAATGTGTTGTGCTAAAACTAGTATGGTAAAAACGTACATAGAGATAATGAATAGAATTAAAAACCAACCTCGTGAAGGTAGACCTGAAGTTTCCTCAAAGCCTGGTCCTTGCCGAAGCACAAGTAGCTGTGTGTGTACAACTCATATTTGTACCCGTAGAGCTGGAGATTAAAAGCTGAATCTGGGTTTTTCACTGGGTCTTTTGGGGTGAATGAGATCTGTGTTGATGAGCCACCGAGATCAAGAGCTCCAAGGATCTTTCCTGCTTTTGGGTGGATCCAATTGCCCTCAAATGTGTGCTGCAAAAAAAAACAAAAAAAAAACATACATTCGGAGTATTGAGGTACATGATGTTCTAACAAAAGAGAAGCGATTAAGAGTGATTAAGTATCATTTCTACTGTTGATTGATTTACTTAACTGAGTCTGTGTTGTCAAAATAACATGAAAAGCAAGAATGAAAATAGTATTATTACTGTACATGTGTTCAATGGCCTTTAGGAAGAATGACAAATAAAGATATCTGACATGATAACAATGTAATAACTTTAGTTTAAAGTGATTGATGTTGCATTGTTGGTTTTATTTATTTATTAAATATTAATATTTATTATTAAATATTTATTCATGAAATATAAAATGAGCCAATGATAATATGACATGAGAGAATCAGACGATATGAAATGAGAACTTATAATGTTCATTGTATCATTGTAAAGAAATGGGCTGACCCTTAAGTTTGAAAAACTCTGCATTAATAGCCACTCAGTCCTAATTTCATCAGTGTTGGAAATCCATTATTCACCTTGATAAAACTCTCCAAGAGATAGTTGATGGTGATCCAGCCATAAGCCCCCTCCTCCATGCCAGAGAGTATTCTGGCCCCTCGAAAATCAAATTGATAACTTTGGATTGTTTTGGTGACTTCTGCGAGAATGCTGTCTGCTAAACTTTTGTTCTGTAAGCTGTGAAACCAATGTAAAAATCAATGTAATCCAGTTCAATGATAATTATTTTTCCAAATATTTTTCCATTTGTGTCCCTGGACCACAAAACCAGTCTTAAGTCGCACGGGTATATTTGTA